AATTTGAAATTAAAATTGTCATTTCAAATAATGTCTTCTAGATGTGCCTTTAATTATTTTATTGTGCGCGGATGATCTGTCGACTTTGCTAAGTCAGGCATAGCAAAGGAATTTGTCAAAACAATAACGGTCGTGGAAAAACCTCAACGCATATTCAATCATTTGGGGCTGGTTTATTACCGTTTACGATTTTTGATTTTCTAAAAAACAAAAAACAGAATGAAAAAATGAAAAACGTATTTTTCTCGTTTTTGAAAATTGCCCCTCATTTACAAAACGATAACAGAAAAAAAAATGATTATCAAACGAATTTTTTTTCTTATTTTTTCTAAATATCAAAATAAAAACGAAAAACATAGACGTTATCAAACGGGACCCTGGTGGTTGGATTTGACTTCGGTACCCAAAAAAAAAAAAATATTATATCTCAATTTATCATATTTGTGGTTATTTTTATTATATTTATGGGTATTTTTATAACGGTTATTGCACTCAAAAATATGGTATAAATAGGTATCATAATAGTGATAAAAATATCTACAAATGTAATAAAAATACTCATAAATGTGATAAATCACCCACAAAAGTAATAATTTTTTTCGTACATAAAAAAAGTGGTAAAATTAGTTACCACAAATGTGATAAAAACAAACACAACAGTGGTAAAAATACCACAAAAGTTGTAAATCAACCACAAAAATGATAAATTTTTTAATTATAAAATAACCCACAAAATTATAAAAACACCATTTAAAGTAATAAGTTTTGGAGTGATGGTACCTAAATATTTTTGGTGATACCACAGTCAAATCTTGGTTGGTTTCTTCTGTTCATATTTCCAGAAACCTGTTGATTGATTTTTGTTTACGACTTAAACATAGGACTGATCATAGGTATGTCGTACAGGATTCACGTTTTTTGTATTGTGTTAAAATTAGTTCAATACATATTTGATCTATTTGTGATCGTTTGTATTCAGATATTTGTGCATAGATTGTATATATTTAGGTTTGAATCGTTTAGAGCTGAATTTATGTCAAGTCTCGCTCAAACTTATCAATATGTTTATGATTTGGACCCCATAAGTAAGGACGAAACTAAAAATTCATCGCACTTGGGGTAAATTTTAACAATAATAATGTAACTTGAGTACTTAAATTTAGAGACCTCATGCATTGCTACTGCTAGCAAATAGACTGCATTCAGCACTGAAATCCATTGCTAAGTCAATAATTATAATATATTATACCTTCAAATTAAGCCCCAATAGGATCACTTCTTTAACAATAGTAAAATTAAACAGTTCAAACTAATAATAAATTAAAAGAGGTGGCATAGTGCATAGATTTTCCCTAATGCAAGTTTTCAAAAAGTCAGATGTACAAAATTTTATTTCATATATGACGAGATTTTTTGTGAAGTAGAATCCTTGACACTTAAGCTATCATAGCACAATCTTACCCTTACAATTGTTCCTGACTGATTTTCATCGAAATTAACAATGGCGAGAGAGAGTGACAGCATGCAAATAGAATTTTGTAAAAAAAATAAGATTAATGTTCCTTTGCCCCCCCTGCCCTTAAGACTAAAATCATACAAATTAACTATATATTAATCTCGTGTCTGATTTAACGCACCGTGTTAAAAATTATAAATTTTACTGGAAAAACTAGAGCTCTTGTTGAATAAATTGTTTTCTTTGGTTATGGTAACAGTGAAACATTACCATCAATCCATCATAGAGTCCAATAATGCAAGACAAAGCAGTGGAAAAGCGTGGCAAGCATGTGTCAAGGGTGGGTCCCAATTGGCAATTTTCCAATTCTTATTGGATGATTCAAGGAGGTGAAACATATTTATTCAATTCATGGATAAGAGGTGGGTCCCAATTAACAATTTTCTCATCCTTATTGAAAGATTCAAGGAAATAAAAACAAATTGATTCATTCATAAAGAAGAGGGTGGGTTGTTGTTTTTGTTTTTTTATTATAGCATTTGGATTGATTGTGCACTTTATTAAATATTTGAACTTGGTGCTATATTGATAAATTAGGTCAAATTTTTATGTCTAAATAGAATTACTCTTTTGTTTTTGATATGCAGCTGGTATGATAAAACTTCCTGAGGTTGGTATTTTAGATTTGAAGCAAAATGTATTCTCATTCACACAATTTGATTGGGAAACTTCAAAGTTCAAACCTCTCCTTCTCTCTATGTGGTCCATGAAACCAACGATTTTCAACAAGATAAATCTCTCACATTCTTTGGTTCCACTGCCCTTTTTGTGCAGATGGAGATATGTTTTGAGAGCAAGTGCTTTGAGGACATTCTACACCACAAATTTGAGTAAAAATATCTTAGTTCTGACATGACTCGATGCCACAATTAAAAGACATAAATACCCTTATATTAAAAAAAAAAAAAAGACCAAACAGCTCGTTTCCACTTATTCTATGTATTATTCCATAAAAACCACTGCCCCCATCACCGGGCCGAAATAATAATTTTAAAAAAAATCAAAAAACCACTGCCCCATCACTGGGCCTAAATAATAGTTTATAAAAAAAATCAATATCTCATTTCGAAAGCCACGTTTAAGGATTTCAGAAAATAAATTAGGAAAAAACAATTTTCTAAAAGGACGATTTTACCCTGAATTGCAAGTTGCCATCAATATTGCTCACAAACGACAAGGCCTTTATAAATGGGCCCACAAACAATTACCGGGGGGAATGGACACAAGACCCCCAACCCATAAATGATTACATCAGGCCGAACAAAGCATGACCAAAAAGTTATTGTCATTGTTGATGATGCTTTAAATTTTATTGATTTTGATGTTTCGAAGGAAGAAATGATATTTAAGAACAAAAATTTGTTATCCTAAAGTGATGAACTTTTTCTAACGAAAGAAATAGTATAAATTTTAATTTCAATTTTAGAGTAAATTAAGGGATAATAATTTTTAATTTAAGAAACTAATTTAAAACTACTTTTAAGGTCTTTAAAGTTTTTATAATTAAACAGAATAACACTGTTAAAAATATTTTTACGATTTAAAAAAATAGTGAACTTAAATATTTATTAATAAAATAAAAAATAAAATTATTATTAAATAAATTTTATTGACATACTCAAATTATTATAAATCTATTGAGAAGAACTCACCTAATATTCACTATAATAGTCGCGTGATAGCCCAGGCAACATGGTCACAACATGATTGCATCCAGCCATGGGCTCCACCATGACGCTATGGTTCTTGATAGGGCTTACCGACTGGGCCCACCACAAGCAAAACCCAGCCACTAAATTCTAGAGTAAAACTGTCAAACCCATAGTTTTAAAATTCAGCTCGGGCGTCAACTTAAAAAAAGGATTGGGTTTGTGGCTTACTGATTGAACTATTGAATTATTGGTCGAACCGATAAATAATAAAAAAAATAATTAATAATTAATAATAATAATAAATATGCTAAAAATTATAAAAATAACATGCTTAATATATTTTAGATCAAACAAAAATCTCAAAATTACCAAATAAATTGTCAATCAAATAGATAAATCAGGAACAATTAAACTATAACTCAATAAAAATTATACATAATTAAGCAGTAAAATTTCACCTCCACCATATATGATGGTAATAGAGGGATGATTCCTTCAATTCGAGGTTTCAAGTACGACAGTTACACTGCAAGAGAGAGGCTCCGACTTTGACATTGATTTGCTTCGAGTTTGACAGTGGCTTGATTCGAGATCAATTGCTACGTTGAGAGAGACAGAGAGAAAAAAAAAGAGGCTTCGAGTTTGACAATGACCAACTTAAATTCAACAGTTACACTGTGTGAAAGAGAGAGAGAGAGAGAAAAGCTTCAAGTTCAATAACTAGAGAGAGAGGGCAGGCAGAAGAAACGGGGGTGGTGGCTGTGTGCAAAATGATTAGAGCAAAAAATGCTCAAATAACTCTAAAACCAGGTATTTATATAGTACTTGTAATAAATTCGGTCACCTCATTAAAATCGTCCGATTCAGAGGGTTGGCCTCAAAATTCGTCATGTTTAACAAGTTATGTCCGATTTTTAAACTTAAACAATCTAATAAGGAGACCGGCCCGGTGCAGTGGCAGGTTCACCGAGTCAACCCGTCGGGCTAGAGCGAGTCGAGCAGGCCAAGTCAATTTTTAAAACACCGGTCAAAACTCATTCTTAATTTATTTAAAATTAGGTTCATGTCTTTTTATGTTTTAGCCGCGTTTAATAGGAGTCAAATCGATTTATTTATTTAACAGGTGTAATAAATTTATTAAATTTTTATCAAACTTTTAAAAACATCTCAATGGACAAAATTGTCGGCATTACAAGGCTTCGAAAGGATTATATGTACGTAGTTTTATACTATACACATAAAAACTATTTTTATTATTTAAATAAATGACATCTAATTTACATTAAATATTAAAATTTATTTATTTTATATCGTTTTCTTGTTCAGTTCTTAGCATAATTATGTGTATATATATTGGTTCAACGGCCAATGGTATATAGACCAATTTACGCACACTTCGATTAATTATCTCTTAGTACGGTTAAAGGCAAGTTGTTTACTCTGGGATTAAGGTATTTATAAATAATAAATTTCTCATAATCTTACTCAAAAAAATTATCACAATTCAAACTCATAACATTTAAATTTATAATTTCTCCGCGTTACCACTTTATTTATTTTGGAGTTACTGTTAATAGATTGAACTATAAGAGATTATACATTTCCTTTCAACAAAACCGTTTAGTTAGGGATGTTAATCATATCGTGTTCATATATCCCGTATGTCATATTTTTTATGTCGTGTTATTATCATTCGTATTGTGTTTGTATTATGACCTATAAAAAAAATTTATTTAATGTATTATGAGTATTAAATATTAATTTAAATTATTTATTTTACATATTTAATAATTATGTTAATTTTATAATCATAATTTGTATCAATATGTTAGAGCTGACACCCGGTCCCGATCATTGCAGCTCTACCAGCAGAGGCCTGGCCATTTTGGCGAAAGAGATACTTCACGTGATCGTATTAAATCAGGACCGTGCAATCTACTTTTTCGGCAAACCAGGGCAGTTTTCATGGGCCCAGGCACACGTGATTAGAGACCAAGGGGTCCACCTAAAGAATATCAGCCGCGTACTGACCCCGTTCCAATTCGATGTACGGGGAGGTCAATTTGGATTGAAGTACGTGCGTCGCAAACTGTCGGTAGAAATGTTATGCTGTGGTCAACCTCATCTATTACTAATGTGCTCCTTCATCTCTGTACATAGGGCTTCAAATGAACCAATTGTTCATAAATAATGCATCATCGGCTCGGTTAAAAACTCATTCAAGTTCATTTATTTATTAAATAAGTTGAGAAAGTTTGTTTAATAAATGAATTGAACCCGATTAATGTAAATATTTTTATATGATTTTATAAATAAGTAAATTTAAACGCAAACTAAAACTTGAAAAAAAAAAAAATAAGTTAAACTTAATCAAATATATTTGAAGGATTTTGATTTCTTGATTCGCTATCTAGATAAATATTTTATTTTTAAGTTTTAATTAAAAAATTTAAATTTAATCCGAAACTTGGAATAATCGACTATCAACTTCACTTGACTGATTTACAATTCTAATTAATCAACGGTGAGCTTATAATAGCAACCGTGAGGATGCCCTCATTATAAACTTTCTCCACCACAGCCAACCATAATACTAGTCAACGGTTGAGATCTAATCTCACCCTTCCGCCCTTTCTTGCTATAAAATTTCGAAGAGCTCTTCTCTCTCGCTACAACAAACCAGTGAGAAAATCTCTCTCCTGCCCGTTTCACCGTACAAGAAGAGTGAGAATTTTTCTCTCTCTCTCTCTCTAGGGTTTAATAACTCTCATTTGACATAAAAATGCTACTCCGAAGCTCTTCGACCCCAATACTAAACTCATGGCTACCTGCACACACCAAAGACTTATACACTGAACCAGAATCAATTCTTCACGTACCCAAAACCAAATCTATCTCATCAATCTCAATCTCAATATCATCATCATCGAGTTCACAAGAAGTTACAGTAAAAAGAATGACTAGAACTCTCTCAGACAGCGACCTGAAAATAGTTATTAAAACCCCACAGAGTAAGTGCATGCATAGCTTGCACGTGGCGTTTGCTGTTAGTGAAGAAGAAGATGAAGAGATAGAATTGGAACCCACTTGGTTGGATGAGGAGTACCGTGCTGTTAGGGTGGCAGTGGGTGGTGGAAACGGTGGTAGTGGTGGGAAGATATGTAGCGGCGGCGGTGGTGGTGGAGAAGATGAGAATGGAGGGTCTGCGAATTGGGATTCAAAGGGTAATATTGCAAGTACGGATCTTTACTATCAGATTATGCTTGAAGCTAACCCTGGGAATGCATTGCTTCTTAGCAATTATGCCAGATTCTTGAAAGAGGTATGTCACTACTTTTATGATTGTATGTGTCTATAAATAGGTACGAATGTTAACACATGATTTCAAGATTGCGATATTTATCATTAACTCGAAGGATATTGAAACTCATCGGTTATATTATTTGTCTCAAACGATAGGTAATTCGTTCGTATTCGATAATTAATAAAATATGTAGATATTTTATAAATATTTTTAAATATGAAATAAGATATTCAATTTTTAATTTTAAACTATACCTCTTCTTTAGAGTTCACATATAATATAAAACGTTAACAAAATTTTATTTGATTTTAAAGACACGATTATTTTTTTAATATTATTTATTATTAAATATTAAGAGAGTATAAAAAAAATGAGTTATTTATATTATATTTTTAAAACCAACTAGTTAAATGTGGTTATGATTCTTTCAATTTGTCATGTTCATTTTTATGAACATATCATAGCGAAACGATATTATATCATTTTTATGGTAAAAATTCATAATTTTATTTATTAATGTTTAAAAAATATTAAAAAATTATAATTTCTAAGACGTTAAATAATAGTAAAATATAAAATATATTTTATTGTAGGCGTATCTTGGCCGTACCCGTATCCTATTTTTTTAAGTTTTGTCGTATCACCAAATTCATATAGTATCATACCCGTGTCACCGACTTGTATCTGTGCTTCCTATATATATATATATATATAAAGAGAGAGATTTCGGTGTCTCAAAATGATATTGCATGACTATATGTCACGGCCTACTCTAGTAGGTTAGATGATGTCTCGGGTGACTTGGTTGAGTCACCGGGACTATTGGTTTACACAAAACATAAAATAGTATCAAATCAAAAGATAGTGAATGAGATACAACTTAGACAAAAATCATAATAAGTAGTTTTGAATTTTTTTAATGCCTTAGGGAGTAATTGTGGGATATTTCATTTTTATTTGTGGGTTTCTTCAAATTTAACTTTAACTTTCTGATTTTGCTGGATTGCCAAAAAGATAAGAACTTGTTTAATATATCATATTGTAATATTGAGTATGATGGGCAAGTCTAAGGGCCCAACTCTAATAGGTCCAACTAGCCAAATCCAAAGGAGTCTGCACCCAATCAAGTTCATCAGGTTCCACGAGTTACATTAGTAGAGGAACATGCAAGATCATCCAATAGCCTCCTGCTCTACCACCTTGGAGTAAGGCTCATCAGGAAGCTACGCCATGTCATCAAGAGAGCATCAAGAACCTTATCCTCTTCCCCTCGGAAAGAGTCAACATCCACATCATTATTTGATCGAATCTCATGGAGAGCACCACAACTGTCTAGCCCGTTGAGGAGAAGTCGTGAGCTCCACCAGAATAGTTATGTAGTTGCTAATACCTCGGCCAAATTTGTTAGGAGGGCGATTATAAATTGCATGCCCCACCAACACCTGGGGGTATCGCACTTGACTTGACCATGACTTTCTCTTCTCCCTTAAAGCTTGTACTCTTTGTTCCCCACACCCTTGAGCTAATGAAAGCACCCGACAACCAAAGTCATTCAAGAGTGGACGTTGGTCACGTTGACCAAACCACTATAAATCTTGTCTCCTCCAATTCTCTCTTTACTTTTATTACATTTATTATTTACGCTTAACAGGTGGTGTGCAAAGCTATTTTGTGCATCATCAGTTTGGCGCCGTCTGTGAGAAACGACAAAATTCTCACTCCTAAACATTCTATTTGCTGAACCAATGACGATCACTACTAGATTCATGAACCAACCTGAAGACAATCCTCCACGAGAGGAGGAGGTTACTCCTCCACCTACCAACTCTGTCTTAAATGCTCCAACTCCAAATCCACAACAAATACTAGAGACCATGCGGCAGCTAGTAGCCCAAAACCAGCAGATACTGCAACTCATGCTTGCTGGACAAGGAGGAGCACAACTTGGAGGTGCACAGTGTGGAGGACCCCAAGGAACTCCACGTCGTAGACATCAAGGAGTTGCACGCCCTGAACATCAAAGAGCTGCACGCCCTAGATATCAAGGAACTCCACAACTTACTGCTCCCCATTTGGGCGCTCATGCAAGTCTGGGCGCCCCTTTTGGAGTCCCTTTGGGCGCCCCACACAAGGGAGCCCATCATGAAAGACCTCCACCTCCTCCTACAGCTCCTCTTATTTCCCATAATGAAGTCCCTCATCTCCAAAAAGATAATGACGAAAATCAATGCATGGAGCATGAGAGTCATTTTCATGATCATTCCAGAGGAACCCCCAATCATTGGGACAAGAAAATTAAAGAAGTGCAAAATCAACTGGGTGACATCTTCAACGCCATGAAGGCGCAGGAACCCGAGACAATAGACTACCTTGTAATGCGGATAGACACGCCTTTCAAACTTGACGTGGCGAACTATCCCCTCCCTCAAAAGTTTAAAATGCCATCCGTAGAGACCTTTGACGGGACAAATGATCCACTTGATCACCTCGAAACCTACAAGGCCCTAATGCAACTATACAACGTCCTCAACGAAATTATGTGTAAGGCATTCCCAACTACTTTAAAGAGATCAGCGCGACAATGGTTCGTCAAAATCACCTTGGCCTCCATAAGCTCCTTCGTCGAACTGAGCAGATCATTTGTGGCACAGTTCATTGGTAGACGCCGCCAACAAAAGCCTGCCACCCATCTGCTCAACATAAAATAGGATCGAGACGAGAGTCTGAGGAATTACCTCACTCGTTTTAATGAGGAGGTCCTTTAAATCGAGGAGCCCAATGACAAAGCCAACATGGCCACCTTTCTGGAAGGCCTCTACTCATCCAGATTTTTTTTTTCAGTAATGAAACGACCACCAAAGAGCATGCCAGAACTATAGACAAAAGCTCAAAAATATATGAATGCGGAGGAAATCAACAGGTCTAGATGAGGTGAATCATCTCGCGAACCTCCAAAAGCTTCACCTGCTTTTGTACTATTCTCAAACAGGCAGCTTCAGTATCCAGCTTAGCAACTCTTTCACGGGTCGCCAAAAGCTTGGCCTGTCTCTACACTGTTCTCAAACAGGCAGTCTCAATATCTAGCTTAGCGACTCTGTTACGGGTTGCCAAAACCTTGACCTCTGCACTGTTCTCAAACAGGTAGCCTATCTCCAGCTTAGCGGCTCTCTCGCGGGTCGCCAAAAAAGTTTGGCCTCTGTATTGTTCTTAAACAGACACCCTATACCTCAAGCTTAAAGACTCTCTCATGAGTCGCCAAAAGTTAGGTCTCAAAATGTATAGCTCTCTCACGAGCAATTTTCTAACTCTGTTTTTGCTCTAGCGCAAACAACCTACCTCTCTCTCTAGGTAATTATGTGAGAAATTTTAATGTTTGGAATAACATTGTTTTTGTCATCATAAGCAGGCTCTCCCAAAGCAGCCCGAGGCTCGCCTAAATCTCCCAAGGCATTCCCCCAAAGCGCCCGAGACACCCCAGGCTCACCCAAGGCGCCCAAACGAGGCAGTCCAACACCTAGAGAGATACTTGATCCTATGTGCTCACTCAAACGAGGTAGATCGATACCTGGAGAGGTGCCTGACGTTCTCTGCTTGCCCAAACAAGGCAGCCCAACACCTAGAGAGGTGTCTGATCCTATGTGCTTGCCTAAACAAGGTGGCACAACACTTAGAGAGGTGTCTGATCCTATGTGCTCGCCCAAACGAGATAGCCCAGCACCTAGAGAGGTGTTTGATGCTCTTTGCACGCCCAAATGAGGCGTCCCAACACCTAGAGAGGTGTCTGATCCTATGTGCTCGCCCAAACGAGGTAGCCTAGCACCTGGAGAGGTGCCTGATGCTCTTTGCACACCCAAACAAGACAGCCCAACACTTGGAGAGGCATCTGACACTCTCTGTTCGCCCAAGCAAGGCAGCCCAACACCTGGAGAGGCGTTTGATCCTATGTGCTCACCCAAATGAGGCGGTCCAACACCTGGAGAGGTGTCTGATCCTATGTGCTCGCCCAAACGAGGCAGCCCAGCACCTGGAGAGATGTCTGACGCTCATTGTACATCCAAACGAGGTAACCCAACACCTGGAGAGGTGTCTGACGCTCTATGCTCTCGCAAACGAGACAATTTAGCACCTAGAGAGGGGCCTGACCACCTTTACTTGCCCAAACGGGGGCAGCCTAGCGCTGTCTGGCCCCCCCAAAGTTGCACAAAATAGTTTCAAAAGTGCCTGAAGTGGCACCCGGAGCTGCCCCTATGCCTAGGCTGTTGCCTAGCTCCCCTGCTGCACGCGGCTATTCGTGCGCCCAACACGATTGCTCGCTATTTTGATCCTAAACTTTGCTCCATAACTCTAAATAGGGGCTTATTATATATCAAATTCTCTTGACGAGCCCTATAAAACTCATAATTTATGGTGTAAAAAATCCAAAAAAGGCTCAGAAACAGCTATTTTAGCCTCTCAAAGTTTTTCAAAAAAAAAAATAAAATTTGCTCGGTCAGGACATCTCCAGCTCGCCCAGGACACCCCCTTGCTCGCCCAAATCGCTCGCTGAATTTTCTGCTCGAATGTTTGACCATAACTTTTGCTCCGTTACTTAAATTGAGGTTTTTATATATCAAATTGAAGCTCTTGACGAGCCTTACAAGACACATCGCCTTTGGCTGCGATTGTGATTGATGCTGTAAAAATCCCAAAAAAAAGCTTAGAAACAGATGTTTTGGCCTCCCGAAGTTTTTCCAGTTGCACTAGTTTGCCAAAAATTCAAACTCAATCGAATGCCCTCCTCTCCAAGTTCCATTAGACATAGGGCATTGGAGAGCAAATGATAGGTCAAGCCCAAGGGCCCAACTCCAATAAGTCCAACTAGCCAAGCCCAAAGGAGTCTGCACCCGATCAAGTTCATCAGGTTCCACGAGTTACATTAGTAGAGGAGCATACAAGGTCATCCAATAGCCTCCTCCTCTACCACCTTTGAGTAATAGCCACATTATAGTAAGAAGGCTCATCCTAGCCACCTTGGAGTCAGGCTCATCAGGAAGCTATGCCACATCATCAAGAGAGCATCAAGAGCCTTATCCTCTTTCCCTTGGAAAGAGTCAACATCCACGTCATCATTTGATCGAATCTCATGGAGAGCACCACAACTGTCTAGCCTGTTGAGAAAAAGTCATAAGCTCCACCAGAATAGTTATGTAGTTGCTAATACCTCACCCAAATTTGTTAGGAGGGTAACTATAAATTGCACACCCCACCAACACCTGGGGGCATCGCACTTGACTTGACTAGGACTTTCTCTTCTCCCTCAAAATTTGTACTCTCTGCTCCCCACACCCTTGAGCTAATAAATCTTGTCCCCTCTAATTCTCTCTTTATTTTTGCTAGATTTATTATTAACACTTAACAGGTGGTGTGCAAAATCATTTCGTACATCATCAGAGTATATTACAAAAACAAAGCAATTATTGATGTCATTGGATTGGATTTATTACTTTATTATTGAATTGGATACGACATGGGGCAATCAAAACAATTACCTACCCACCAGTAGTGTTGGATTTTTGGATGTTTCTAATGCGGATTTAAATTCTCTCCAATAAATTCTTTTTTATCAATTTTTTTCAGTGTTAGAATACTCAACATATATTAATGGTACAATTATTTTTACACATGGGGCATTCCACTAAAATTTGTAGCGGTTGAGCAACCAAAATAAGTCTACATAATACACGAGACTCTCGTTATTATAGCTATGGAGGGATTTGTGATTTCATGCCTAGTTTGTAAATATACTCTCCCTTAATAATTACAACAAATTCCCCCTTTTTATATCATCCATCCAACTAATTCCGAACTAGTCATCAAATTTCTCCCAAGATCCACCCAAAATTTTAGATTGGTTGTAACTCATATATATTGGTCGAATTTGAATTCATATATGATAGACAGTAAACTACTGAGAAAAAATATAATGGAGGTAATCTGAATTCAGTAATGTTTGATACTACTTATCCTCTCACTCCCAATTAATCGGACCAAAACTAGCACATTATGAACTAATAATTCGTTCCAAAAAGTAAATTTTCGGGTTTTAAGTGGGTTTGCTAGTGGAATTTTTATGTCACCATCTGTTCATTAATTTGTATGGTAAAACAGGTATGTGGAGACTTTGTGAAGGCTGAGGAGTACTGTGAGAGAGCAATACTTGCCAACCCCAGTGATGGAGATGTGCTGTCATTGTATGCTGATTTGATATGGCGTGCGCATAAGGATGCTCCTCGTGCTGAGTCTTACTTTGATCAAGCCATTCAGGCTGCCCCAGATGATTGGTGAGTTCCATTCATTACTATTTCATCAAATTGAATATTAGCCCAAAAAAGTCATTGATTAAGTGGTCGAATAAAAGACGAGACTAGCCGAAAAAAGTCATTGATTCAGTGGTTGAATAAAAGATGAGACTTAAATTCGTATATTCGAAATTTGAGTTTTCGTAATTGTATAAGATTCAGTCGATGCATGTTGTTAGTTGAGGATTACATGTCTTCAATGCTCCGTTTGGTAGGAATGATAGAAATTAGGAAGGATGAAAAATAGAAGGAATACACTTTCTATCTCTCAAGGATGGAAAGTAGGAATGATACATTTTCTTTCTTTTATGTTTGGTTGGATGGATGAAAAATAAAAATAACTAATTTTTTTTTTGTGATGATTAAGATTAGAATTGATAATCGAGTCGTGTCATGTCAGATTCGTGTTAAGTCATAAAATTATGAGTCTTTTATATTTCTTGTTCGCATGGTCAGGTCATTTTCAAGTTCGTGTCGAATTATAATCAATTTCGTGTCATAAAATTTGTGTTGAGTTCAAACCGTGTCATCGTGTTGAGTCGAAAATTTTCATCCCTAGTTAAAATAAAAAATAAAAAATTATTTATTTATATATATATATATATATATATAGACAAATAAGATACATCTCAACACAAATAATTAACTTTTCATCCACTTTCCTTCTAATTTTAGAGGGATTGATTTTGGTGAGTTAGAAAGAAAGTTAATTCATCCACTTTTTCATCCTTCCTATTTTCTTTCCTTACCAAACATAATATTTAATTTATCTTTTTAACTTTCTATCCTTCTAACTTTTTATCTTTCCATTTTTTCATCGTACCAAACGATGCATAAGTTTTGCGTTGCAACTCTACGTTCAAAAGCCGCATGTTTAAGACGACTCCCTTACTAAAAAAATATAGCTAATTGCAAATGCAGTATAGATTTTGAATCCCCTTTTGTTTATGTTTTCAAGCAATATTCCTCACTGATAGATTATCTGTCATCAATTCATGTGTGGCCTACTGGTGCACATTTTCGTATAGTGATTTCCCAACTACATACGTGATTGACGGATAATTTATCATTCAGAAAAATTGAGCAAATACGATATTTTCACGTGAACAGTGAGTGAATTCTGAGGTGTTTTTATTTTGATGGTGCAGCTATGTTTTGGCTTCCTATGCTCAGTTCCTTTGGGATGCCGACAGTGAAGACGAAGGTGATGAGAGAGAAGATACTAGCAATATTGATTTATCACCTCCCATGTTCTTCCAAGGAGCTCCACCACCACTTCTCCTCCTCCCATAGCCGCTGCTTCTTAGATTGAATATTTCATTTTGTGTAATAGCAGAGAGGGCATAACTTCATAACCTCGCTTTTTTTATATTGTCACCTTCTTTCTGACCCTTATTTTTGTTTTCTTTTTCAATATCCATGTTTGCTTTTTTCTTATTTTTGTAATTAACATGTAAAAAGGAAAATAAACTTTGTGATATTGCAAACTTTTGGTTGCTTCATCCCCCTTTTGGGTGTACAAAGGTAATAAGAACCAACTATAGACAATTCTAAATAGGCCTATAATCGGATCGAATTTTAATTTTAATAATATTCATATATAAATTAATTTTTTATCAGATTCAAATTTGAATTTCTATTTGTGTCGTATTTTACGAATTGGATTTGGATGCACTAATCTTCAATGAGGTTGCAATCTGAATTGAATTATAGATTTATGCAAATGTAGTTGAATTATTCAGATTAAATTGAATTATTATATCAGATATCTCTAGTTTTAATGAATTTAAATATTGTCTATGAAAATAAAACCTATCGGATGTATAGATTGGACTCAAATCTATGTTTTCAAATTGAATTTAAATCAATTTTAGTCCTATCTAAAATCGATTGCACCCAAAGTTTAAGTCTCTAGGTGCAAATTATGTTTTAATGAGGCTAAGAATTATAATACTTTGAAGTGTTTGTCTCACTGGGAATAAAGTTGCACATCAACTAGCCACACATGCACGTTTTATTAATACGTTTTGTTATATGGAGGGAGCAAGCTCCTGATTTCATCATGCCTCCCCTGTTTTCAAACATACCTTTCTTAATAAAATCTCTTACGGTAAAAAATATGGACTCCCCCTAAGTTTTGGTAATATTATATAGACATCTCTTGATATTTTACAAATAACACAAAAAACTCTCGAGGCTTTTTTAAATTAATCGTTCACCTCCACTATTTTTTAAGAGAATTGCTCACCTCCACTTAATAAACTCAAAAACCAATGGTTTATGTTAAAAAACATGAAAGTAAATTTAAAAGTTGACAAAATTTTTGAAAAAGAGATAGTTTAAAAAAATTAATAATATAATTTAAAGTCAATTTCGTGTTGATTTAATCAATAACAAATAATATTCAATACGAAATGAACTTTAGATTATAAAGTAATATTTAATTTTATCAAACTGACATTTAGTTTTGTCAAATTAATATTCAACTTTGTTGAATTAATTTCAATTAATTTTTATTGTTATCAAATTAATATTGAAATTCATTTAACCAAATTTTTGGGTATTAAATCAATTTTTATTTGATTTTATTAATTTTTAATTTAATTATTTTTTTGTACTAAATTTGAAAAAAGACAATTATGAAAATAATAAAAAAATTTGGGATGAAATTATTATTTTTCGTTAGTAATATTGACGGAAGGGAGGGAAGGGTTTCCGTGCAATAAGTTTCAAATCTCAAAGGAATTCCGTGTTATTTATAAAATGTTAAGGGATATCCATGTAAAATTTTCAAAACTCAGGAGTATCGGTGTTTTTTACCCAATCTCTTATTATTTCTATAAACAAAAAAACGAAAAAGAAATGGATCTTTTGACAGGCCTAACTTTGTTTCTCGGAACTAAGCATTTCAAGGCCCTTGTAATTAGCGAAGCCCATGAAAAGGGGCGGGGGGGGGGGGGGGGGGGGGGGGGAAGTAGGGTCACTTCCCTGCTAGCCAGACTGGCTCATTTTATAAAAGAAAATTATTATTATTTTGCTATTACGGTCACTAAGTGTCTAAATTAATTTATATGTGTTTTGACTAATTTTATCTCCGATTCCGTTAGACATAGGCCTTACACACTTCGAAATTAGATTGTAAATCTCAAAATGGTGTAAAAATGTGTTATAACTAGTTAATCACATTAAATATTTCGTCGTTTGAAATTTCACGTACTATGCACGTAATTTGAGATAATTATCGTTTATAGAATAAACTAAAAATCTATTAAGTAGTTTTTAGGGAGCGTAAGTTATATTACGAGGTCTCTCATATAGTTGTTAAACATACGTAACTTCACTCACCTACCGCTAATGCTATTGACATGTGTACTGTTCTAAGTATACTGAAGTTATCATTCTCATTTTTTATACTTCTTGAGCTAAATATGATTTTTATATCGTACCCATGTAAAGTTTACTTTCTTATTTTATTGTTTTGTATTTGATTGTTTATACTTCTTGATCTTGATCGTGATATATATATACGTTGATTATATGTAACATTAATACATATATATATATATATACCGGTTATGCAAACACATGTTATAATGTTTTATATTAATGTTGATATATTATTTATTTCTCGGGTCAACTGGTAATCATTTATTATATATTGTAAAGACTAGTTGGAAGTTATAGATTTCAAAAACTGTTCATCAGGTGTTATTGACTGAGAAGATGATCTGGCTATCGATGGGGAGTTTCTGTAAGAAAAGTCGAGGATCAGAGGAGCTCCGGTTGTCGATCCTCTGATAATAAAGTTAGAAAAAAGTTGATTCTATGTTTAAGATGATTCTTTGGTAATAAAGCGATAAAGTGGGCATAATGAAAATATATTTGTATAATGCTTAGAATATGTGAATATTTACACATATAGTTTTCTTTAAAAAAAAGGGTGGGCGATGCTCACTCTTGCCCCTTGTAGCTTCATTGATGCTTGAGAGACATCATTTGAAACTTAAAAGAGACTAAAGTGAGAAAATTGTACACTTGAAAAATTAAAGTGAAACAACTTACAAACTTCGGAGATAAGACTCTCTCAAATGGCATCGATGACTCAAGGTTCTATTGGGGATAGGAGAGTGAGGGGAAAAGTGGGTCCTCCGTTTTTGGCTTCACTTGAGCTATCGATTTGACGCAATTCAAGAGGAAGAGGAAATCAAAGTGTCCAAAGAATCAATCATCTTCGTTAGCCAAGTTTAATTGTCTTATAGAAATTGAAAACCGAAAAGACTAATGGGATCAAGCTTATTTGTCAAAAAGGAGATGTAATGTAAAATACCATAATTATCCTTCGAGTATGCCCTTTCTGTCACTTTGTCAAGTTAACAATTCAATGCTAATAATAGTTCTAGTTCCGAACCACTTTACAATCTTGAATATGGTTTTCCACTTTCCGTAAGAAAAATGTCAACAATGTTACAATTGAAGGATTGAGGATGATGAAGATGATTCTACCCGTAAAGAAAGTGAGAGTTCAAAGGAGTCGAGCAAAAACTCCCTGACCGATCCCTCTAAAAAGCTAGACCATCACACATATGTTGTGTAGAGCCACACTTGCGTAGTTCTATGAAAATAGTCTTGCCAATAATATATTAAAGAGTTTTGTAAACAATATCTTTGAAAGAACCTCACTGCTTATTAAAAAAAAATTGTCTCTCAAGTGACTACACCAAGAACCCTTGGACCCAAACCTATCACAAATGTTCCCTCACAATAATGTTGCTTAATCACTTCTGGGACCCCCTACTAATTTTAAATGAAAAAAATGTATTTTGTTGACCTTTGTGTTGAATTTTTTTGTGGAGTTTAGTTTTATGTTGATCCGGATGATGACCCGACTCGAAAAATGTTGCGTGATTTTTAATGAAAAATTTTCTGAGGCTTAATCCATGGAACGAAGGTTTGGGCTGATGGCACATCATGAGCTTGAAGGAGGGTGTTAGAGTAGTTAGAATATTTAATCTTAAGGGTAGTTTAGTCATTTTATGCTTTTATGTTGCCCTACTATATAAGGGCTTTTTGTATGCATTTTTCTATTATACTGTAATACAATCATTTTCTATTGTCTCTTCTCTTTTTCTCTTTACTTTTATTAAAGTTTACATGGAGGAAAATTTTTTTGGCCTGTTTGTTTGTAATCCGGTGCAAGACATATAAAACTTGTTTCTTTTTAGTGATTAGAGTTTGATTGATTCTGTACGGCCGCTGCCCTCTCTGTAATCGTTCTTGAAAATAGTGAAATCTCTGCAGTTTCGTGAATATAGGCAAATTGCTGAATTACGTAAATATTGTCTTGTGCGTGTGATTATTTTTTTTTGCGTGTATTTTCTCTATTGTTGTTTCTCACAAGTTTGAAAATTTCGTGTGAATTTCTTAATAGTTTGGAATGATTTTGTTGCGGGGTTGAGTCATGGTAGAGAAGAACGTGGAGAGAGGGAGAGAGGGAGAGATTTTAAGGGTGTATTTAGGTTTTAATTTTTGGACAAACTTTTTTGTTGTTCGGTATAATTTGTGGCTCATTGGATTAGATTGGGTGAACTATAAACCGTTAAAATAAAAATAAATAAAATATAAATCATTGTTGTACTACGTTAAATTGAAAAATTCAAAATAAATTATATTTTATTAAATAGATATTAGTGTTGATTCATGATCAAAATAGTTTTAAGGTGGATAGAAAAGTGAATTTCAGTAGTAGTACTCTAACCCATATAATAAAAGTGACTACACTAAAGAGTAGGTGTCAGCCTTCAATTCACAACCACTCTACTAATGAAAAACAATTACAAGTCAAATCAAAATTTTCTATAACATGGAAAAGACCTCAACGGTAAAGAGAGGACAAAATGAACTACTTTGCACTTTACACCCTATAAACACTCCCTCTAGATTATTTTTGCTGTTTATTGTTTACTCATCTATTGATCGAAAAATTGTATCAAAGAGATTTTCCTCACTTGAATGTCGGGGAGAGGCCTCGAATCTTTTCCTATCTTGTAACTCACGGATAAGTCGACGTTCGAAGACAAAAGGATGCACTTCGACATTCTTTATTTATTGACATTTGCTAGAAAAAAAATACTGAAGATATTTAATTATTATCGCCTATAACTTTTTAAAAACAAAAACAAATAAAATCATATTCAACTCAATAAATTATTACTACGAACACGTGGTGTTTAGGGATTATCAAATTTTTTTGGCTTGAGCTATAAAGTAGCCCTTCTTCCTTTTCAAGCGTCATTGATTGAAACATTATTTATTACACATTAATAAATTAATAAAAAAATTCTTGGGCCACGTATTCATTTCTTGCACCGTGAATACAGATTGAAAATAGGAGAAGAATATCCGATAGCAATTAGTCAAATATTATTTGTTTAATTCTATGTGTGTATGAAGTTTTCGTAGACTAAAGCAGCAATCAACAACAAAAGTTGATTCAGCAGTTTATGGTAATTGACAATCAATACTATAGATTATCAATTAATTATATATTTTTTAATGTATGGTACCGAATATAATTTTTTGGGTATGGAAGTCTTGTCCATTAATTATATATTTAGTTGACTCTCACAACCTTTCAAAAAATGCTATGAGTAGACCTTGCTTAATTGGTGGTGGAAAACTAACACAAGAAAACGGAAAATCATACTTTGTATCTCAAAAGATTTATTTTTTTTTTGTTTTACACCTTTGAATATTATAATTTTTATATTGTACGTTTAATATATTACAAATATTACAATGCGACTCTTTCGTTAGTTTCTATTATTTATTCTGTCAAAAATTACTTTTGACATTGACGGAATGAGTAACGAAAATTGATAGAAAAACCACATTGAAACACTTTTAATAAATTAAAAGTGCAATGTAAAAATTTAATCTTTGAAAGTGTAAAATAAAAACTCTTAAATTTTTTTAGGCTCAAAGTGTAATAATTTTTAAGAAAAACGTGCAACACTTTTTGTGGGAGCACAATTGTCTCCCGTGGATTGTGTATAAATATTAAAAAAATTAATTGATTATTTGAAGAAATTTAGATATAATTTATTAATTTAAGTTATTTAGATCGGATCAAATTTATGATTGTACGAACTATCGAAAATAAAATTCGTTTAATAATTTAATTGAATTTGGATCCGGATAAGTTAAAATTTGATTTAAATTCAATTTATTGATAATTTATTATCAACCCGCTTGCCCAGACCGAGCCCGATGCGGATCGTTGGAACCCTTGTTTATTCTCATGTTACAATCATAGAGTTATTAAACAAAGTGGAGGATCAACTTACTGGTTGGTTGATAATATGAGATTATTTGTTCAGATTAACTATATTTGGACCCAATTCAACATTGTCACGGATCGAGTGTAGTGAATTTTAAGGGGTAGTTTAATGGGAACATGAATGAGTTGAAAATCTTTTGAGTTAGAAATTTAATAATTTTCTTAGGTTCAGACGTGAGATATTTTCTTATAAGTTCAGATCATTTGAGCGGTTATCTGGCAATTCATCCCCCTGTCTCGCTCTCTCTCTCACACACACACAGACGCACACAAAAGTCTTTCGATCTCTGTTGTTTAGTTCAGCCTTCGCTGGTGCTGAGGTCACGCAGCTCACGTCCGAGTTCGCCACCGAGGAGCACCTACAATCCGATCTCTCCTCGCCATTCTCGGACAACTCTCCGATCGTATCTTCGTTTGTTCCGGTAACGTTTTCGCCTGATTATTCCTCAATTCGTTTGCGCTTTCTTCTGTGTTTATATGTATAATTATAATGTATGCGCATGTATGTATTTTAGGATTCAATTCGGAAATTTTTGAGTGACTTTGTTATCTTCAGCTTGCTTTGTTCGTCCGCGTGAGAGGGAGGGAGGGAGGGAGAGAAAACGCATATGCATTAAATCGTTGGTGATCGAGTTAATTATCAGTATTTGGAATAATTTTTATTGAATGATTGGTGTTTATTGTTCAATTTGTAGATTTTTATGGGGTTCTCTATCCATTGTGGTTAATTTCGTGGCAACTGAGCGTTGGGAAAGAATGAAGAGGGCCACGAAAAAGGTCGGGAAATATGAGGTCGGCCGAACAGTGGGCGAAGGAACTTTTGCCAAGGTTAAGTTTGCGCAGAACACAGAGACTGGCGAGAGTGTTGCGGTCAAAGTTATGGCCAAAAGCACCATTCTCAAGCACAAAATGGTTAACCAGGTACAATCAAAACACCGCATATATACCTAGATTTTATTTTATTTTAGCATAATCTATGCGTCTGTGCATTTTATGTTGATATTTGATGGAAAAATTGTCTTCTATAATGTTTTCAACTTCTTTGCACTGCTGAAGAAAAATTGTCATTTGTATGTTCTTGAAGTCATAAATGCAAATTTTAGCTATAAATTTGTTAGAATGGGGGTATAAACACAGAATTAAATACTATCTGATAGCGTTAGAGAATGGAGGTATGAGGATGAAGAAGATGCAAAGGGGTCTGTAGATAGACGGATGTGTGTGTGTAGGGTAGTTTAGCGGATTTGAAGCGAGTAGATCCTTTTGTTGTTAAGAGTGATAACTTATGAGAACGAAACAACTCCGAAAGTTAAGCGATTCACCATGCTGAAAAACTTAACTAGTCCACTCTATTGTAGTATTTTGCTTACTGGTTTCTATTGCTTGGAGAAGAAGATTGGTTCAAAGAGATTCTATATCGTTTTTTGTAAAGTATCCCCTTTTATACAGGAATTAACTTTTGTCTATATTTGAGATTGCGTGCGTCCCAGTCTGCTAGAATCATCTGTGGAATATCTGGCCATTAGAGGATGTCTAATACTGTTTGACGTGTCCTTCTAAAAATGGTGAGGTGTCATCTTCGAAGCGATATCTTTGAGCCCAAAGTAGGGATGGTTCACTGGGCCTTCTTCGCATATCTGAACTTTTGAGGTTGTGGCCGAGTTTGATTAGATATCATTTGGTGGTCTGAGAGATGCTCTCCCCTGCAAGAGCTGTTAAGGCAAGGAGGTCAGCCTAGCCGAGCTCTATAACTGAGTTGTACTAGAATGTGCCGAGGTCTGATTATGTCGGCAAGGAACTTATGTCGCTTACTGGTCGTTTCAGCTCTGGACTTCATGGTCGAGCTCTTCAATGTCGATCATCACTATCCAATATAGGGTGAAGAATTCTCCGTGATGAGAGAATCAATTGAATTGCAGGTAAAGAACCGTTGCTTGCAGGAGTCCAAAGTCCGAATTAGAAAGGTCTGGAGTCATTGTAAAATGCAGGCCCATCTAGAGTCAGATAACATTTTTTGCAGTATTTGTTTGAGAGAAGTTTAGAAATACATAGTCAGCTGATTTAGAGGTTGCGGGAATATACAAGAAGGAAAGAGTAAATATGTAGAATCCCTTTAATATTCTCAAGATCTTGTTTTGGGTCCATTCCACCTATTATTTTTGATAAGGGGCTAAAAAGTGTTCTTGGGAATTGTGGACTTGCATCCTTGTGTGCCCCCTTTTCTGCTGGTTTTGCATCCTAATTCCCCACTATGCGCATTGTAAGCGATCCTGCTACTTATCATCCTAGTCCAGATAATTCTAGGTTCTTTTGGAAATCCCTGCTTAATTTTGCATTGAAGTGTGGTTCTTTCAGTCACGTTACCCATGCCTATCGTTCATAGCCCTTAGGAGTCATATATATACATGGTGCACCAAATTTTCTCAATCATCTGTCTACTCCTAGCCCAATCTTAGAACAGAGGCAAGTAAACCCAACCTATGCCCTGAAGCATGTGATACTGGATTTCCACTTAGAGGTTGATCTAAATATTATAAAGGTCAGTACCCTTCCCATACTGTATGCACCTTTCTTCACATTAATTACTCCAACTTTTCAATGTATAATTCTCCAAGAAGTGGAGTAGTTTCTAAGATATTGGAAATTTTGGTCATCAACCTGCAGTTTATTTGTGGAATCTAATTGTAGTGGTTCTCACTGATAATTATCAATTGTTTTAAGCTATAACTTTATTGTTTGATGCATGGATGTATTCATATGGTGCTGTTATGATGCTTCTGACTTTGGTTTATGATGCTTCCTTTTTTTTTTTTTAATTGCCATTGACATTTCCTAGATTAAAAGAGAGATATCCATCATGAAGATTGTCAGACATCCAAACATAGTCAGGCTGCATGAGGTATATTTGGACTTCTCATGTTATGCCTTAGATTGATGTGCAGTTATGTCATGCCATTCATTTGTGGAGGCCTTCTCTTCCAAGAAACTTCATTGGTCTGATAACTGATATTTCTTTCGTTTTTTGTCTTATTCCTTTTTGCATGTTAGGTTTTCGCTAGTCAGATAAAGGTCTATATTATTTTGGAGTTTGTCACCGGAGGAGAATTATTTGACAAAATTGTAAGTTTGCTGCAACTTTTGCTCATAATAGTAGTTAAAGTAGTAATAACAACTGTATTGGGGTTAGAGAAGAGAGAAAGAGAAAAAGAAGAGAGAGAGAGAGAGAGAGAGAGAGAGAGAGAGAGAGAGAGAGAGAGAGAATAATATGGGTGGGGGCTATCTTGCCCTACACGCTGTTATTTATGCTAAACTGATATTATGAGTAATTACAATGCTATCCTACACTACTAAAATATAAAATAAGAACTATAATGATAGTGATAATTGCTAACATGCTCCTACTTTTTCTTTGGTTTGATACAATTGAAAATGTGAAAATCACAATCTTTTTGGGACATGGTAAGGCCCATGTGATGTGAGGGACTTCTACTAGAATGACCACCTACAACTGCGTACTTATTTTCTTTGGGTGAGAAGAGTACCCTTTCTTATAAACATTTATCAATCCTTTTGTGATTATATCAGATAAAAGTTGCTTATCAAAAGAAGTGCAGGCTAGCGTGTTAGAAATATATATAGCCTTATGAGACGATCTAAAAGTTTTCGTGATTATGAATGCCCAGTCTTTTGAGTAATTTACATGGGCTTGAACAATCAAATTGCTGCCTAAGGCATGTGCTTGATATCTGGTTCATATTTGGAAAACTTAAGGTGATGGTGCTACTGTTGGCCTAGAATGCTTAGTCACGCTCTAGGTCGGATATATCTTATTTAACTAGAACTAGTGATTATAATTATGGTACTTTGCCCATTTCATTCTGCTATATCCAATATTGAATCAGCCATGGAAACAATTGCTATGGTCACACCAGCATTGGTGGCAATTGGCAAAAGGTGTTATTAGATGTTGAGTGGGATAATATGCAGACTTAATTTTTGGCATAGTTTGCACAAATGGCTGTTCTTGGACTTGAGCTTGTGTTTTCACGCCTAGAAGCATGGCATTTTACTGTTACACCTAGTGATGGCCCCTATTACCAGCCTAATTTGTTTTTGATCAGCATTTTACCAGCCTAGTTGACATCGTTGTAATTTACTCCTATGCTGGGGCAGGTGGCATGGTAGATAAACTTTAGCTTTTTGCACATCCAATCATCAGCTCAGCTGGATGATCATGCAGAAGCAAAGAGAAAGCCTGCTTAGTAATATTGTTACTCAATGCGTTTAAGCAGTAGGATGCTGTCTGAATTAGAGTTAGCTTGCATGCAAGAAGAAATTGAGTATGCCACTAACTGTACACCTAAGCAACATATCTGCGTGGATCCCCATTTGCTGTGTGAGCAGCAAATGGATCAGTTTTTACCCAAAAAAAGTTTCATGTTTATTTATGAGTGATGATATGGGGTTAAAGGTGTCAATTAATTTAGAGGGAGAGAAGGGAATAATCCTACTTTTTTATCAATTGGTTACCATTCAATCATGTGGCAATAATACTCATGCCAGAGTCTATTTATATGCTCGCCCTGGATGCACAGGTTCACCAAGGAAGACTTTCTGAGAATGAATCTAGGCGATACTTTCAACAGCTTATTGATGCAGTCTCACATTGTCACAGTAAGGGTGTGTACCACAGAGATTTAAAGGTGCAGGGTGATTGTTGATATCAGAGTTCATATTAGTGAGCAGTTTACATATGTAATCTAATGTTTTGATCTTAATTGGTTGTTTTTTATTTCCCTTGTAATCTGTAGCCTGAAAATCTTCTTCTTGATTCCCATGGAAACTTGAAGGTTTCTGATTTTGGACTGAGTGCATTGCCTCAAAAAGTAAGCAGAAAAACATTCTGTTTGTATGAAATTGAACAAGAGAGTGCTGCTTTTAACAGTTTTTTATACTCTTTTCATTTGCACAAATCCATGTGCAGGGCGTTGAAGTTCTTCATACAACTTGTGGCACTCCAAATTATGTTGCACCTGAGGTACACCAGTTTTTGAACACCTCAAACTGTTCAATACCACATAGATCTTCCAAATTGCTGCCTTTACTTTTTAGTAAATTTTCATTTTGCTTTGGCTGGCATGTAGTGTACTTTTAGCATTGCTTTGTTTACATAGGTTGGCCTACAAAATATCTTAGGAAGGTGCATAAGTGTGTGAATTAGAGACCTCTTATGGAATTTCATGATTATGGAATAATTGGCTTGTAGTAAACTATCACATCCAACCAAAAACTGGGATGCCAAGGGAAATATTTAGGATTCTACTTTATCTTTAAGACATGGATGGACATTACATTAGATAACAAAAATATAAAGTAGTCTCTACTTTCTCATAGCAGTTTTCGCTATTTCCAACTCATCATTAATAGCATCATGACCCCTCGAATCTAAGTACATCTCCTCCTTTTCTCTGCATAGGTATGCTCTAAATCCTCATGCATAAACTACTCTCTCACATTGCCGAAAAGATAAAAATACTCAGAATCCTCTCAGTCCCTGCTCTACTGATATAGTAAGCTATGATGTAATGATTATGGACTTTCTTTATGTATAGACAGAAAGAAATGGACTAGGAACACATCTGTTATTTATATGATTTGTACTTTGATAACATGTAACATAAAAAACTAGTTTAAGTTTTCTATGAGAAGAGGCTTGACAATTGCAACCATAACACGTTAAACTACACCACCAAAGCTTTCAAAAAAATTAAAAATAAAAATCTACGCCACAACCCCCCTTTATGGTTTCTACTTATTTTGCTGGAGTATAATGCAGTTGACCCACTCTGAGTTTCCTAGGAAATGGACTTTGCAATCACCATCACAATATTGCCAATCCACAACACTACGCTTTCCATGACTTAGACTTTTGCATTTCATATTCCTATTGG